TCAAGGCCATCTCCCCGGACCACATGCACCGCCTCTTGGGGCGCTTATGCCATCAGTTCTGTCTGCGCAGGTGCCTCCTCTCGGTGCTCGGCGAGTGCTACCGGTTCGTCGGCAAGGGGGGCTCCGCGGTGCGACCGCTGCCGGAGGGGGCTCTCGCCGAGCTGGCTGTCGCCCGCGGCCTGCGCCTCTTCGCGCACGTCGACATCGCGGGCGAGATGCTCGGCCGAGCCTACTGCAGCGACGCCTCCACCGAAGGGTACGCCTTCCACTTCACCGCCGCGGACCCCGCCAGCCTCTGGCGGGAGGCCGTCTGGCGCGAGCGGTGGCGCTTCGTGGACGACGACGGCGGGCCCGCAGCGACGACCGCGGCCATCCGCGGGGCCGAAGTCGCCCCCCTCTTGCCCGAGGGGGCCTTCTCCCGCTGGGTCGCCGGCTCGCTGCAGCCGCTGCCCAGCGAGGCCCCGCTGCAGGCTGGTGATCCCCGCTCCCGCCGCCCGCCCCGCGACTTCCGAGAGCGGGTGGGCCTGGTGCCTCCGATCGCAGCGGAGTGGGCGCGGCCCAGCCGCTGGCGCCGTGGGGCCGTGGGCTCCTGGCGGCGCCCGGCGGCGATCCACTGCAAGGAGGCCCGGGCGGCCCTCCTCGGCCTCGACCGCGAGGCGCGCGACGCCCGGTCGCACGGGTGCCACCTCGTCTCCTTCGGCGACAACCTGTCGGAGATCCTGGCGTTTGATCGGGGTCGAGCGAGGGACAAGGAGCTGCTTGCTCTCACACGCCGCGCGTGCGCCCTCCAGATCGGCGCGGGCATCACCTGGCACCGGCGCTACGTGGAGACCGAGCGCAACCCGTCGGACTTCGACTCCCGCCTGGCCGGGCGGGGCCTGGTGCCTTTCGGGCGCCGCGCGCCGGGGGCGCTCCTCCGCCAGCTGCCCTTGGCCGCCGCCGTGGGGCCAGAGTGGCAGGCAGAGGCGGCCGAGCCAGCTGCGCCCCCTGGGCGCCCTCGCGGGGAGGCCGCGGTCGCCGGAGGCCGACGGCCCGCGGCGCTGGCCGCCAGGGGGGCCCACTCGCCGGGCAGGGGGGGGAGGATTCAGCCCTCCAAAGTCACAGCCCCCTGCCCGGCTCCCCCGCCGCGGCCGCCGCGGCTGACTCTGGCGCCCGCGGGCGCTCCTCCTGGCCCGCCTCGCGGCCGGTGTTCCTGGAGCTCTACTCCGGCTGCGGTGCGGCCACCGCCGCCGCCGCGCAGGAGGGCCTGCGCACCGCGGTACCTGTCGATCGAGTTCATGGGCCTCATCATGACCTTCTGGACCCACGAGTGCAGCGCGAGATCCTGGCCTGGATCACTGGCGGGTTGGTGTGGTGCATCTTGCTCGGCACTCCTTGCACGGGATGGGTGCCGGCCCGCACCACAGGGGTCGGAGACCATCCCACCACCGCTTGCAAGACCTTCACCGCCAAGGTCCTGCGGGTCGCAGCGCGCTGCGGCGTCCACATCATCCTGGAGAACCCTGCTCGCAGCAGCCTCTTCGGCGATCCTGGGATCTCTCGGGCGCTGGCGAGGCTTGGCGCCGTGCGCTGCGACTTCGACATGTGCGCCTACGGGGCCCCGTGGAAGAAGCCGACGACGATCTACACCGCGCTGCCTGGGGGGCCCACCCTCAGTCGCCGATGTCCGGCACCAGGGGCCCCCCATGTCGTCCTCGCCGGGAAGGTGCAGCTGGCGGGGGTCCGCCCGCGGTGGCGTACCTCTTTCGCCGCGGCGTACCCTCCTCGCCTTGCTGTGGCACTGGCCCGGGTGTGCCGCTCAGCTGCGCCGCCCAGCAGCCTCCGCTGCCCGCGGGAGCCCCTCCTGGACGACTTCTGGGACTGGCGTCTGGCAGTCAGCGCGCAGCCGGCCGCAGCCCCCAGCCGACGTGTGGCGGCCCCGCGCCTTGAGCGTGCCGCCCGGCTCGGCTGGGAGGGGGCAGTCAAGCACTGGGACGGGAAACCCTGGCGGGATGAACTGGCGGACTTCCGTGCCCATCGCGCCGCCTGCGCCGGCGCGGCGCGCAGCCAGGCGCCGGGCCGACGCCCGCCGCGAGGCCTACGGCGAGGCCCCCGGGGCCTGCCGTCGCGCCGCTGTCCGCCCAACCACAGCTCGGCACTATCAGGAGTCGTTCGCGGAGGTCGGGCGCTGGGCGAGGCAGTGCGGGCGCGAGCCGACTGGCGCGGCCTCGTGGGACGCGGTGCTGGACGAGTTTCTGGACGCCATGTTCTTCGACGGTCTGCCCCCTGCCAAGGCGAGGTACGCTGTGCATGGCACGGCGTACTGCTTGGGGCTCCCGCCTCGGGACCGAGCCACCCTGCCGCTCGCGAAGGCCGCTCTGCACGGCTTCGCGCGCGCCTCGCCCGAGCAGCCGCGCGACTCGCTGCCGATCGAGTACCTCCACCTGGCCTGCGACGTGTGGCTCCGCCGCGGGGGCACCCTCCCCCTGGTGGCGGCCGCGTCCGTCATCGCCTTCGACTGCTACCTGCGCCCCGCCGAGGTCGTGGCCCTGACGGTGCGGCACGTGACCCCGCCGATGGCGGGCGCTCAGGACGTCGCCATCACCATCGCGCCGATCAACGAGGACGACCCGACAGCACCTCCCGCCAAGAACTTCGAGTACGACGCCTCCACCATCGTGGGGGCCCACGACCGTGGCTGGGCGGCGCAGCTGGTCCTCAACTTGGCCGCCAGAGCGTCGGCAGCGCACCCAGGAGACCAAGCCGCCCCGCTGTTCCCTGGTCTGAGCACCGCCCGCTGGGCGGCGGCATGCCGTGAGTACCGCATCGAATTTTTCGATGCCCAGCTGCCTTTCTCGCCTCACTCTTTTCGCCATGCAGGGCCCAGCCATGACGCGTGGCGCTTCAGAGCGAGTGCGACTGCCCTCCAAACCCGCGGCCGCTGGCTGGCCCCCTCATCGGTCCGACGATATGCTAAGCCAGCGGGAATGTTGCGTAGGAGAAGTGCGCTGTCGCCTGCCCAGCTTCGCAGTGCCGCCAGCGCGGCAAATAATCTCGAGCACAGGCTTCTGAACGCGTTCCCAGCTCCTCCCCGACCACCGCCCAGGAGTGCCCTTGCAGGGGCTGCGGGATTTTGGGTGCCAGCGAGGCCGGCAGTGCGAGCCTCTGCTGGTGCCATAGCTTCCGGGTCCAAGCGACCCCGTCAGGATCCTGCCGAGTTTGCTCGGCCGCGGCGGCGCCCCAGCGCAAAATGAAGTCCCTTGCCTTTATTCTCTTTGAAGGCTGCCGCCGTCCCCGCAGAGGACGGCAGGATAGATGGTGATTGAAAGTGTGACACATTATCACTGTCCGCATCGGAGTCCTCTGCAGCTTTTCTGGCTCCTCCCTTTCCCCTCCTCCTCCCTCTTTTTTCCCTGTGCTCGATGCTCTTTCAAACTTGGGTGCCAGCGAGGCCGGCAGTGCGAGCCCCTGCTGGTGCCATAGCTTCCGGGTCCAAGCGACCCCGTCAGGATCCTGCCGAGTTTGCTCGGCCGCGGCGGCGCCCCAGCGCAAAATGAAGTCCCTTGCCTTTATTCTCTTTGAAGGCTGCCGCCGTCCCCGCAGAGGACGGCAGGATAGATGGTGATGATGATGATGATGATGATGATGATATTGATGATGATGATGATGCTGATGATGATCATGCTGATGATGAGGATGATGATGATGATGAAACCGGTGATGGTGATGCTGAAGATGCTGATAAGGATGACGACGATGCCGATGCCGATGGTGTTGGTGCTGATGATGATGGTGCTGATGGTGACGGTGTTTGTGAGGGTGATGGTGGTGATGATGGTGATGGTGATGAGGAAACGGATGTGGATGACACCTGTGATGGTGATGATGGTGATGTTGATGGTGCTGATCATGTGGATTATGATGATGATCATGACGATGCTGCTGCTGCTGGCGATGATGTTGCTGCTGATGACGATGATGCTGTTGTTGATGTGATGGTGGTGATGGTCATGGTGATGATGACGATGCTGATGAGGATGATGCTGATGATGGCGACGATGGTGATGATGATACTGGTGCTGCTGCTGATGGTGATAGTGATGACGACGATGCCGATGCTGATGGTGTTGTTGATGATGGCGGTGATGGTGATGGTGACGATGAGGATGATGCTGAGGATGCTGCTGGCGATGGTGATAATGCTGATGATGACGATGATGCTGCTGCTCATGATGATGGTGCTACTGAGGATGATAATTGGGCGGAAGAGCAACAGACGGAGGAAGAGGAGGAGGTACGACATGACGGGGGAGGAGGATTATTATATGGATGAGGATGCGGATGAGAAGTAGAAGGCGGTGGCGATAGAAACGGAACATGAAGAGTAACATGTGAAAGGCGAGGGGAGGGAGGAGGACGGGAACGATGACACGTATCGGGACGCCAGAGGTGTATTCAAGAGGTTGCAGTCATATGTGTGCAACCACGCGCTCGCTTCCTCGACTCAGCTCTGATTCGACAGGCGCCATGTTCACAGGCTTGCATATAGCGCGGCGAACCTTGCCCTAGGCAGGATCTGCTCGTGGGAGCATGTGCATCGTGACAGTTTGGCACGGGCGATGGACGAGAAAGCTAGTATCCGTCTCTGCAGGGACGGAGCCATGGGAGGCTCCAGCAGCGAAGCAGTCCGCAGAGCTGTCGTGGCACACTGTTTCGGATGCTTCTGGACAGGTTGTGTACGGAGTAGGAGTGACGTCTGGTGTAGACCAGTACGTATGTGTGATTCGAGGAAGCTTTGAACTTAGAATGGTGTTTGCAACGGTATTGCGCTTTATTCACGGCAGCCTGAGACCGTGGGGCGTGTAGATTTGAACGCCTAGCGTTACATCGGGAGAGAGCGAACGAGGAGCGGATTATGGTGGAGGTAGAACAGGCGGAGGAAGATGCACAATGGGAGAAGGACGGGGAGAGGTACAATGAGAAAGGGGAGGGGGTTGAGGGCAGTGTTGGGCCAGAAGCAGGTGCCGACCCCGACGTCGCGGGACGCGCAGCGCGGCGGCGTGACAACGATGAGGGTCCCGGCGGTCTTGACCGAGGCGTTCCTCCTTCTGCCTGTCTTCCGCTTGTGCTCTCCCTCCCCTCCTCGTCCTCCTCGTCCTTGTCCTCCTCGTCTTCCCCGTCCTCCTCCCCCCTCCTCGTCCTCCCTGTCCTCCTTCTCCCCGTCTTCTGCTCGTGCCTTCCCTCCCCGCCCCTCCCGCTCCTCGCCCTCCTCCGTGCACCTCGGAGAGGCGAGCCCTCGCCCCGCGCGGCGCGCCGCCGCCTCCCCGCCCGAGATCTGCGCGATCATTGGATCCTGTCGCTGAGGGGTCGCTGGCCAGGAGGCGAGGCTGGATCTGTAGGCTCCTCTACGCCCGCTGCTCCTCCTGACTGGATGCCCATGCATACACATGGTTCTTTTCTAATTCTTCGAGGGTTCTTCGATGTTTTGGGGGCGGACAAGTAGAAACGAACGCAATTAGAACTGAGCACGACTAGAAATGAACGACGTGTATGCCGTGCTCGAGATCTTCGGGACGGGTTGCCGCGCGGCCCGCTGGAGGAGTTCGAGGACTGGTCACCGCGCGGCCCGCCAGAGTGTGCCGCCCCCCCGATGCGAGCACCCAGGGCCCTGGCACTCACACAACCGCAGAGGAGGTGATGTCCAGAGATGGCCACCTGTATCGTCTCATCGCCATCCCGCAAGCACGATGGATCAGCTGGAGCACCCGTGCGCTCTGGTGGAACTAACATTCCTACATTTGGAAATTTGTTGATACTGGGGTCCGCAAGGCTCGCGTGGCATGGAAGCGTGGGTCGCGGTTGGAACCACCAGCGACGGCTCGATCGGCGACGCGGCAAGCGAGGGCTCTACGAGCGAGCTGCAGGGTTGGCCACTTCTGGAGAGCCTCATGGACTACAGGCGGCATTGACGTTTGCAGAATCACGCGGGGCATTGGCAGCAGCACCTACGTCGAGAGCTGCGAGATTGCCCACAAAGCTGGGGTTCGAGGCGCAACGAGTACGGGACGTCGGCCAGAGGTCAGGGTCAAGCATTTGCAGGAAACCACTGCGGCGGCGCAGGCGAAGTCCCCAGCGCGACCAGCGACTTCACACTCCGCGGCGCTTACGGACGAACACCGAATGAGCAGTCGGAGGAGTTCGACTTGTCAGGGTGGGAATTCCAGCTGAGAACTTCCGTCTGGCCGTTGGATCGCAAGGCGTACCCGCGTGATCACGGCGGACAGGATTATGAACAGCACATATAATTCGCACTGGTTTGTGGCTCCATGCCACCTTATTGCAGAGTGCAGGGCCCATGTTCAGACGCACGCACAAGTAGGCGCTGGGCGCATCCACTAGCGGGAGCGGCGAGTCCGATGGATCACGAGACGTGTGAATTATATCAGGTTTGTCACAAGCGACATCTTGCCATAGTCGGCCAAGGTGAACGCGGTCACGCGACCGAAGGAGAATCCAGATGAGGAGGCACGCGCTACTGAATGCAGCCATGCTGGTCGTTTACGCCAGGCTGCAGAAGGACAGTGCCAAGTTCACTAGCAACCAACGTGGATGGTCTGCATCGGCGACGGACAAGGGTGGAGTTGTCTGGTAGGGGCCCAGGAAGGGCAAGGAAAAGGCAGTCGAGCGCAAGCGACAGGTGTCAGATGCGGTTTTCTTACATCTGGCGCCCCTGGGGTACAACAGCGCGGGTCGCCACAAGCCATACATGATGCTTGTTCGGCCGTGAGGGCGGCAATGGCGGGCAGCGCCGCCAGCGGCACTGGGCTGAAGCGTATGAAGCGCCGGGCTCTGGTCAGCCAGGCTTCTGGAGCCGATGTCAGCAGGGGCAGGCGCCGCGCGCGTGGCCTTGAGCGGGCCGATACGGCGGTCGGCGCGACCAGCCAGAAGCGGCCGTATGCCGACGATTTGCAGCTCAGACTGGTGGGGACGCCCTGTTCGAGTTGCCCATGACAGAATCCGGCTCGGCGGTGGCGATCGGCACGCTGGGTTGGAGTCACAGAGTCCGAGGCTGCCACCGCTGGGCAGGGCCGCAGGTGACCAGGTGACCTTCGAGTCGGCATGCGTCCTGGACCTGGCGGCCGTGTTCGAGCGTCGGCGACGAGCAGCGCGCACTTTTCAGGTCGGCCACGTCGACGCGTCGATCGTGGCGAAGAGCGACCTCATCGAGGCAGGCTTCGAGCTGGTGTGCTCCACGCGAGGCGGCGATCAGATCACGCCAAATGGCGCGCGTGCCCCGCTGCTCCAGGGGAATGCGATCTGGCGGATCAGGGTGCTGAGCGCCAGGGTCCGAGCCGAGACTCGGCCAGCAGAGCCAGGAGAGGACTCTTGGGAGTCAGCCCTGCCGACAGGCGGACTCTCGGCGCCGGAACAGGCGACGGCCACGCCGAGGAGCGTCCACAGAGCTGCGGGGGGGCACGCCTCGAGCGGGTGACCGGGAGCTGGGCCGGTGCCCAGACACAAGTAACAGGGCTCCCCATATTTCCCCATTTTTGGGGGGTTTCCGTCTTCCCCCCCAATTCCCACATTTTCCCAGACCTTCTTGGGAGTCGGCGAGTACTTGCGTCTGTGTGGTAGGAGGTCTCCCAGGAGCGCGCGCTCGCGGAGGGAGCCTCGCCTGGCAGCAGGAGCTGGGTCGAGCCGCGCGCCGGCGGGCGCGCGGAGCACGACGTGGAGCGTGGGGGAGCGGGGGGGCCGCCGCTCGACCGGAGAGGCGGGAGGTGGCCGGCCGACCTCGGGAGAGAGTGGGCGTTGGCCGCGCAGCAGAATTAGGGAGAGCAGGCGGAGGAAGCTCGGGGGAGAAAAAGGTACGGATACGTGTTGTCCCCCGTCGTTTTCGGCCTTTCCTGGTCCTCCTGGGGAATCCGATTCGCTTCGAAATTCTGGTCAGAACGCACCCCAAGAGAGGTCCGGGGACAACACGTATCCGTATCTTTCCGCCCCCCAAGAAGCAGGAGCGCGCGAGGACCAGCCTGTCAGGTGGAATCTCGCGGCGGCCGAGCAGAACTGTGCGGCCGATGCGCCGAGGAGCTGTCCCGTCCTGCCATGGTTTGTCTACCGGTTGGGCGGGGAGTTGGCGAGGGTCAGCTTCAGGGTGCTCGGCCTGGCGCAGTGCATGCTCTCAGGATCGAGCGTCCGACGACGAGCAGGTCCTGGGCGAGCCCGGCCTGGAGCCCGCCTGCGTCTGGAGGATCACCCGAAAGCCTGGATGCTGGACCGCGGAGAGAGTCGCGGGTGTCGATCGCGAAGCACTGGGCCCGACGGCGCGCGCATCGCCTGCAGAAGCAGCCAGGGCGCCCAGGTGGCTTGCCTCCGGGCAGACGGGCAGCGGCTAGGCCGAGCCCCGGGACGTTCCACCTTTCGCCGGCGGGGCGCAGAGACGCGCGGAGTGCGAGACTGAGTTTGATCTGGAGGGAAAAACACACACAGACATAATTAACCGTCGACTCCCAGGAAAATATGAGAACATATATGGGAAATGGGGGGAAGACGAAACCCCAGAACATATAGGGAAATGTAGGGAATCCTGTGATTTGTGTGTATTGATTTGTGTGTCCCTGGGCCCCTTTCTTTGAGACGCTTCACGGCGCGGAGGACCGGGGGAGCCGAGCCAGACCCAGCGCTCGGGTGCCGCTGGAAGCGTCCCTGGCCCAGGGTGCCCCCAGGATTTCCACGGAGGCCCCCACGGCCTCCAGAGCACCCTCCGCGAGGCCCAGCTCACGAGGCCCAGAGGGCCCCGGGGGTGCCGAAAACTGAGTTGGGGGTTTCAGCTCGCTGAGGGGCAGCGAACGCGATCTGTGTTTCTGGGGCGACGGAGGAGGAGGCAGTGCTCGTAGGGTAAGAGCAAACCTAAGCAGCCCAATCGTTGGTAGGAGCAAACCTAAGGTCTGAACTTGTCGCGAGTGGGTGTCGTAAGGATTGTTATTGACGGATCAAGCGCGCCGGCTGAGCGTATTGGGATCTGGCCTTGGACACAACGCTGCCCCCAAAGCGACCTCTAAGTTGGGGGCGCCTTTGAGCCAGGGGCACCTCCAGCAGCCCCCGAAAGTGCAGGCCCGAGCCTCAGGGCGGGCCCGCGCACGGCGGGGTGCGGCGCGGCCGAGCTGCCGTGGCGGCAGCCGCGGCGCAGCAGGCCCCGCCGGGGGATCAGCGCCTGGACGTGCAGTGGGCACCTGGGCGACGAAGCGTCGCCCAGGTGCCCCATAGCAGAGAAACGTACCAGAGGCGAGCGAGGGAAGGAAGTGGAAAAGTGAATTAGCCTGGCGAAGGACCCAACCAGATGCAGTTGTGAGTAATGCTGGTGTGAGTACCGTCTTCGGTGGATCTCCTTATGGGGCCACGAACCGTTTGAGGGGTGTGCCGAAATGGGTGTGGGGACGGCATGCGAACGTTGCCACTGGGGCCTTCGGTGGAGCTCCTTTATGGGGCCACGAAACGTGTGAGGGGTGCACCGAAGTTGGTGTGGGGGCGGCATGCGAACGCAGCCACTGGGGCCTTCGGTGGAGCTCCCTGTGGAGCCACGAAACGTGTGAGGGGTGTGCCGAAATTGGTGTGGGGGAGGCATGCGAACGCAGCCACTGGGGCCTTCGGTGGAGCTCCCTATGGTGCCACGAAACGTGCGAGGGGTGTGCCGAAATGGGTGTGGGGGCGCATGCGAACCCAGTCACTGGGGCCTTCAGTGGAAATCCCCATGGGGCCACGAAGCGTGTGAGCGGTGTGCCGAAATGGGTGGTGGGGAGGCATACGAACCAGGCCACTGGGGCCTTCGGTGGAGCTCCCTATGGGGCCACGAAGCGTGTGAGGGGTGTGCCGAAATGGGTGGTGGGGAGGCATGCGGACCCTGCCACTGGGGCCTTCGGTGGAGCTCCCTATGGGGCCACGAAACGTGTGAGGGGTGTGCCGAAATGGGTGGTGGGGAGGCATGCGGACGCAGCCACTGGGGCCTTCGGTGGAGCTCCCTGTGGGGCCACGAAACGTGTGAGGGGTGTGCCGAAATTGGTGTGGGGAGGCATGCGAACGCAGCCACTGGGGCCTTCGGTGGAGCTCCCTATGGTGCCACGAAACGTGTGAGGGGTGTGCCGAAATGGGTGGGGGGGCGCATGCGAACCCAGCCACTGGGGCCTTCGGTGGAGCTCCCTATGGGGCCACGAAACGTGTGAGGGGTGTGCCGAAATGGGTGGTGGGGAGGCATGCGAACCAGCCACTGGGGCCTTCGGTGGAGCTCCCTATGGGGCCACGAAACGTGTGAGGGGTGTGCCGAAATGGGTGGTGGGGCCACTGGCATGCGGACCCCTGCCACTGGGGCCTTCGGTGGAGCTCCCTATGGGGCCACGAAACGTGTGAGGGGTGTGCCGAAATGGGTGGTGGGGAGGCATGCGGACCCTGCACTGGGGCCTTCGGTGGAGCTCCCTATGGGGCCACGAAACGTGTGAGGGGTGTGCCGAAATGGGTGGTGGGGAGGCATGCGAACCCTGCCACTGGGGCCTTCGGTGGAGCTCCCTATGGGGCCACGAAACGTGTGAGGGGTGTGCCGAATGGGTGGTGGGGAGGCATGCGAACCCTGCCACTGGGGCCTTCGGTGGAGCTCCTTATGGGGCCACGAAACGTGTTAGGGGTGTGCCGAAATGGGTGGTTGGGAGGCATGCGAGTCCTGCCACTGGGCCCTTCGGTGGAGCTCCCTATGGGGCCACGAAACGTGTGAGGGGTGTGCCGAAATGGGTGGTGGGGAGGCATGCGGACCCTGCCACTGGGGCCTTCGGTGGAGCTCCCTATGGGGCCACGAAACGTGTGAGGGGTGTGCCGAAATTGGTGGTGGGGAGGCAAGCGGACCCTGCCACTGGGGCCTTCGGTGGAGCTCCCTATGGGGCCACGAAACGTGTGAGGGGTGTGCCGAAATGCGTGGTGATGATGATGATGATGATGCGGATGAGATGATATGATGATGATGATGATGAGTGAATGATGAATAATGATATATGATGATGATGATGATTGATGATATGATGATGATTGATGATATGATGATGATGCTGATGATTGATGTGAATGATGGGGATGAATGATGATGATGTGGTGTGGTGGTGGTGGTGTGTGGTGGTGGTGGTGGTGGTGTGGTGATGATGATGATGATGATGATGATGAGCCTGGCGAAGGACCCACCCAATGCAGTTGTGAGTAATGCGTGTGTGAGCACCGTCTTCGGTGGATCTCCCTATGGGGCCACGAACCGTTAGAGGGGTGTGCCGAAATTGGTGTGGGGGCGGCATACGAACGTTGCCACTGGGGCCTTCGGTGGAGCTCCTTATGGGGCCACGAAACGTGTGAGGGGTGCACCGAAGTTGGTGTGGGGGCGGCATGCGAACGCAGCCACTGGGGCTTTCGGTGGAGCTCCCTGTGGGGCCACGAAACGTGTGAAGGGTGTGCCGAAATGGGTGGTGGGGAGGCATGCGAACGCAGCCACTGGGGCCTTCGGTGGAGCTCCTTGTGGGGCCACGAAACGTGTGAGGGGTGTGCCGAAGTTGGTGTGGGGGCGGCATGCGAACGCAGCCACTGGGGCCTTCGGTGGAGCTCCCTATGGGGCCACGAAACTTGTGAGGGGTGTGCCGAAATGGATGTGCGGGACGCATGCGGGCACACCCACTGGGACCTTCGGTGGAGCTGCCTATGGGGCCACGAAACGTGTGAGGGGTGTGCCGAAATGGGTGTGCGGGACGCATGCGGACGGCAGCACTGGGGCCTTCGGTGGAGCTCCCCTATGGGGCCACGAAACGTGTGAGGGGTGTGCCGAAATGGGTGTGCGGGACGCATGCGGACGGCAGCCACTGGGGCCTTCGGTGGAGCTCCCTATGGGGCCACGAAACGTGTGAGGGGTGTGCCGAAATGGGTGGTGGGGAGGCATGCGAACCCTGCCACTGGGGCCTTCGGTGGAGCTCCCTATGGGGCCACGAACGTGTGAGGGGTGTGCCGAAATGGTGGTGGGAGGCATGACCCTGCCGCTGGGGCCTCGGTGGAGCCCCCATGGGGCCACGAAACTGTGAGGGGTGTGCCGAAATGGGTGGTGGGGAGGCATGCGAACCCTGCCACTGGGGCCTTCGGTGGAGCTCCCTATGGGGCCACGAAACGTGTGAGGGGTGTGCCGAAATGGGTGGTGGGGAAGCATGCGGACCCTGCCACTGGGGCCTTCGGTGGAGCTCCCTATGGGGCCACGAAACGTGTGAGGGGTGTGCCGAAATGGGTGGTGGGGAGGCATGCGGACCCTGCCACTGGGGCCTTCGGTGGAGCTCCCTATGGGGCCACGAAACGTGTGAGGGGTGTGCCGAAATGGGTGGTGGGGAGGCATGCGAACGCAGCCACTGGGGCCTTCGGTGGAGCTCCCTATGGGGCCACGAAACGTGTGAGGGGTGTGCCGAAATGGTGGTGGGGAGGCATGCGGACCCTGCCACTGGGGCCTTCGGTGGAGCTCCCTATGGGGCCACGAAACGTGTGAGGGGTGTGCCGAAATGGGTGGTGGGGAGGCATGCGGACCCTGCCACTGGGGCCTTCGGTGGAGCTCCCTATGGGGCCACGAAACGTGTGAGGGGTGTGCCGAAATGGGTGGTGGGGAGGCATGCTGAACGCAGCCACTGGGGCCTTCGGTGGAGCTCCCTATGGGGCCACGAAACGTGTGAGGGGTGTGCCGAAATGGGTGGTGGGGAGGCATGCGGACCCTGCCACTGGGGCCTTCGGTGGAGCTCCCTATGGGGCCACGAAACGTGTGAGGGGTGTGCCGAAATGGGTGGTGGGGAGGCATGCGAACGCAGCCACTGGGGCCTTCGGTGGAGCTCCCTATGGGGCCACGGAACGTGTGAGGGGTGTGCCGAAATCGGTGATGATGATGATGATGCTGATGCTGATGATGATATGATGATGATGATGATGATGATGATGTGATGATGATGATGATGATGATGATGATTGATGATGATGATGATGATGATGGGATGAGGGAGGGGGGGGAGGAGGAGGAGGTGAGGAACGCGGGGCGCCGTCTTTTCAAAACGAGGACCCAACACCACAGGATGGTTGGGAAAAAGAGAGGGCCTTCTCAGAGGGCGGCGGGGCTTCTCAGGATGCCTCGAACCTTCCCAGAGGTTGTTTTGTGTGTTGCCTTCTGAGAAGGCTCGCCCCTTCTCACCTCGGGGGTGGTAGCAATTACGTGTGACAGGATGGATGTCCTCATGCAATGTCTCGCCGCCATCCAGGCAAAGTAAAGTTGTGGCGCAGCATGGGCCGTCTTGTGCTCCGGCTAGAACATCCGCTCGCCCTGTCAATATTGGAATGGTGTTCGCTGCGAGAGCCCGAACTTCGGACTTCGCATCCCAAGGGCAACTGCGCAGCGCGCGCAGAAGAACTGGATAGTGTGTCCCGTTGAGTTAGCTGCCTTCGTTTCCGCACGAGTGGTCCGACTCGCCCCTGGCTTGCCCATGAACAGATGACGAGAACACACAGTTTGGCATCGTCAGCAGGATGCAGTTGGGATCGGACACCTGTGCCTTTCCCTCAACCCCGTCGATCTCCTCCTCCTCCTCATCCTGGCCGTTTTCTTCCTGTTGCAGCTCTTCTCCATCCCTTTCCTCTCCCCTTCTTCTTCTCCTCATCCTCGCTTCTTCCTCTTGCTGCACCTCCCTCCCCTCTCTCGTCATCCTCATCCTCCTTAATATCCCCCCTCCCCTCTTCGCCAGCCTAGTGAAGGGAGGTTGGGGCTTGTGTGTGGAGGTTTTGGGAAATAACAGTGTGCATCATGGAAGCCGAGCTGAAATCCAACTGCGAACCAAGTTGGGCCTAAATCTTGGTCTGTGATTGGTGTGAGATCCTTGTGGCCTGGCCGTGAGGGTCAGTGTGTTTGCCAAGTTTTGGCCCAGGGTGGGCCCAGTGCGGTCTGGAGTCGGTGCACGCTTAACGTTACCTTGAGAGGACCACCAAAACGCGACGATGACGCAGCACATGCCGACCACCACAGCCGTCCGTGAGCTCGGCCATGCGGTCTACCTTCCGGCCACCGTCGTCGAGCAGGAGGGACAGCCAGAGATTGTGACTGTGGAGACAGAGAACATCGTTGCTGGCGAGATTTCCCAAAAGATCGTTGAAATCCCAACCATCCAGGAGATCGTGGAGATCCACGAGGTGCCCGAGGTTCAGATGGTAGAGAAGATTCAAGAAATCCCACAGATCATTTACGAGCATGTGGAGCACATTGTGGAGCAATTGGTTGAGGTGCCCAAGGTAATTCCCCAGAAGCGGCAGCAGACCCGCGAGGTCGAGATGGTGATGGATGTCCCAGTGCCTCAGATAGTCGAAGAGATTGTCCACGTGCCCGTTGTCGTGAATCAGCACCGGCATCACCACCGGGAGATTGAGCAGATAGTAGACGTTCATGTGCCCCACGAGAGCGAGGAGATCGTGCATGTGCCCAAAATCATCCCCCAGGAGCGGATCACCTATCGACAGGGGAATGCGGGAGAGGGATGAAAGGGTTTGACCCAGAGTTCTTTTCTAGGATGGTAATATGTCCCTGGTGCCATGTTGGGGGTGCACCGGCGTAATTATTTGTATAACTAACGAGTTAGAGTCCCATTTTGTTTTCAAACATGCATTTCGCGAGTGCCCACTCGAGGAAAGTGGGCGCCCCCGATCCGCGATACATAACGAGGTCCGCTGACCTTCGGTGCCCCTATTTTGTTTTGTGTGTGTGTGTTCAAAAACAAAGTGCAGAGCGTTTCCCGCAGAATCCTCGAACAATAGCGTGATCTGGAGACACTTGGTTAATATATAAAATCATATGTACATATACGTACATATATACGTATATAGATATACGGATGGAATGTTCGACTTTTGCGTCCCCGCTCGGGGATGGCGCGTCCTGCGCGCAGAACTGTTGAGGATGTCTCGAGCGAAACGCTCGTTTGGGAGAAGTTGAGAGGCCGTTCCTTTAGCCCCAGTCCATTCCGCTTCAGGGCAGAACGAGCGTGACAACCCTTGGGTCCGTTTCGCCTCGGGGCGCGGCAATCGTGAAATCACGTGGGTCCCATTCGCCTCCGGGCAGAGCAGGCGTGAGGCCACGTAGATCCCTTTCGCCTCAGGGCCTGCGCAGGCGCGAACGCACCCCTGCACGCTCGCTCCGCTCCGGGACGAAACGGGGCCCACGTGTTCCCACGCGTGCTGCGCCCTGGGACGAAAGAAACGGGGCGGAGGAGGAGGAGGAGGATAAGTAGGAGGAGGAGGAGGAGGAGGAGGAGGAGGAGGAGGAGGAGGAGGCGGAGGCGGAGGCGGAGGCGGAGGCGGAGGAGGAGGAGGAGGAGAGGAGGATGAGGAGAGGAGGAGATGAGGATGAGGAGGAGGAGGAGAGGAGTGGGAGGAGGAGGGGAGAGGGAGAGGAGGAGGAGGAAGGAAAAGGAGGAGGGGGGTGGAGGAGGAGGGGCCCCACGTCTTCCCGCTCCCGTGTCCGCGCTGGGGGCGAGCCTGCCCCGCGCTGGGGCCGAGCGTGGCGCACGCGTTTTCTCACGCCTGCGGCGCTCGGCGGCGAGGGGGCCCTGCGTGGTGCCCCCAACCCAGAACGAGTGTTTTTTTTACGTGTGCGGGGCACCCAGCGGGGGGGGCCTGAGGTGGAGGAGGAGGAGGAGGGGAGGAGGAGGAGGAGTAGGAGGAGGAGCAAAAGGAGTAGGATGAGGAGGAGCGAGGAAGGGAGGGCAGGAGGAGGAGGAACAGAAGGAGCAAGGAACATAGGAGGAGGAGGATGAGGAGGATGAGGAGGGATGAGGAGGAGGAGAGGAGGAGGAGGAGGAGGAGGAGGAGGAGGGTTGAAGGAGGGATGAGTAAGGAGGAGGGAGGAAGGAGGAGGAGGAGGAAGATGGAGGGAGGGGGAGGGAGTGAGGGAGGGAGGAGGCGGAGGAGGAGGAGGAGGAGGAAGGAGGAGACGGGAGGAAAGGAGGATGAGGGAGGGGAGGGAGGGGCGGGGGGGGGGGCGGGATGGCGGGGGGGGGGGGGAGGGGGAGGGGGAGGAGCAAGTGGGGGGGGGTGGGGGGGCGGTGGGGGGGCGGGCGGTGGGGGAGGAGGAGTGGAGGGAGGAGGAGACCAGTGTTTTTTTCCGATATGTGGCGGTACGTATGCGGGCCACCCAACGGAGGGTTGGGTGCTTCCAGCGTGAGGCCCACGAGCGCCAGGCAGAATCAATACGGCGACACCAGATGTGCAGCAGCCTCGCTCCTCCTCGCTCCTGCTGCTGCTGCTCCTCCTCCTCCTCCTCCTCCTCCTCCTCCTTCGGCTGGTGATCTTCACATGGTGGCTCCGAGCTGGAGCCACGTGTTTTTCACGTGTCCAGGTCACCCAGGTGGATATCTAACATGGTGGTCCCAAGCTGGAGCCACATGCTGTCGTGTGTCCAGGCTACCCAGGGCGGTAGGCGGTATCGAACATGGCTGCCCCGAGCTGGAACCGTGTGCTTTCATTGTTGCAGGCCGCCCAGGGGGTATCTGACGCAGCTGTCCCGAGCTGGAACCACGTCTTCACGCGTCCAATCGACACAGGAATCTGGCCAAATATGTGGTCGTCTGGCCACATGTCGGGGTGTCTCGAGCGAGGGATGCGGAACTGAATCGGGTCTTGAGCTCGAGCTGGTCGAGCGCCCCGCGCGTTTCGATTGCAACTAGCTCAAGCTACGCGTTCAGACAGCTTGAGCTCAAGATCCAAATCAGTTCGGTCAGGATTCTGACGCCAAGGACGGCTTGACCCACAATGCAATAGCGCACGGCACAGTTCAACGCGACATGTCTCCTGGCGCGTTCCCTGGCACTTCCACTGGCACGTTCCGTGGCGCGTCCCTGGCACGTCACTATGCGGCGTTGCACAGCGTAGAGCAGCGCAGCACAGCCCTTTGCAGAAGATCACCATCATGGATATCTTCAGCATTGCCACTGCCCATCGCCCAGTTGAGGTGCTTGGAAACGTTCCAATGCCTCGCAGGTGTAAATCCCTTTCCAGGGTCGTGGGTCGATCATGTTCTGTGCGTGTGCATCCAGCTGCTTGCGGCAGATTCCGCCACCGTGCCAGCGCAGCGCTCTGAGCGGCAACGCTTCGAGCACCGCCCAGAATGCCGTAACATGTGGCACCTCTCAGTTCCATTTTTGGAGGGGCTTTCATGGGGCCTTTGCCTGGCAGGGCCGTCTTAGGGGTTTTCTTGAGCTCCCGTGGGACTGCCTCGGGGCCATCTCGGGGCCCTGTCTGGCCATCGTGGGGCCTTTTTCGGCTGCCTCGGTGCCGTGTTGGGCTGTTTCTGGCCCGCCTTTGGGGCTGTCCTCGGCCGTCTGGGGGTATGCCGTGGGCCCTCACGGGGCTCTTTTGGCTTTCCTTTCCTCCCCGAGTCCTTCTCGGACCCATTTTGAGCCGAGAGCGCTGGGAAACGCACTATTACGTCCCAAACCGCCATACATTCAGTTGTTGCTTGAGCGGTGTGTGCCCTTCTTGAGGGGCTGCCGGAAGCCTCTCTGGACGGGGTCTTCTGGGGCGCTGGTGACTCGGTAGCAAAGGCAATATTGAGCTCTCTCGGTTGCCTTGGTGGCCTTCCTTGGCCGCCTTCAAGACCTTGGAGAGCCCCGGGGGAGCGCCAGAGCCGCCCAGGGAACTTGGGAGAGGAGGATGCACGCACCTGGGTGTGGCGAGATGGGGTGAGCAGATTGAGCAAACCCTGCCAGGCAGCAGTTGGTGCTCTACCACGCCTCGAAGTGCCAGGGGGCACGGCGGCGGATATAGTGCGATATAGGCACGCTATCCTGCGCACCTCGCCAGGGGAACAGAGTCAATAGGCGATTGGGTGTGTCCCGGCTCGTGCTTTGTATGGCCGTTTCATTCGGGACATCCTCGACAGTCTGAAGTGTGGACGCACCTCTCACCCAGATCGCGACTTCAAGGTCACCGTCACAATTGATTTTCGAAGTGCAATGCAATAGCCAGAAAGCACACCATCTGAACATGATCTCGACCACAGGTCTCACAACTCCAGTTTCAATTATCTGAAAGGTACGTATCCAAACTTGTACATCACTTTCCCTTTTGTCCATGTCCAAAGAGGGTGCTTCTCAACATGTCGTCAACTCGCAAGCTCTGTCAATCACGGCGGTGCCCCCCCGCTGCTTTTCACTTGACATCGCAAGGTAAGGAAACCCCGCCTGCGCTAAGTTCTGCATTTTGTGGCAACCGCATCTGCGCTCGCAGCCCCAGCTGCGCTCGACTGCGCCTCGCCACTTCTTGGGGATCAATCCAACATTTCGTTCGTTGAACTGGTGCTTCTTAGGTGTCTCACCATATACGTATTTACCATCAACTGCACAGGTACGCAAGGGCACCAGGGGCGTCTGAGGGTGCACCGGGCGAACCTCACCATAAGCATCTGCAGTAGCAACTCCTTGAATATCCAAGGGCGCAGCGCTTAATGATTCATCTCGCTTCGCAGGGTGCACTGCGAAACACAGAAAGACTGGTGGGGCGTTGGGTGGTTGGCCCTGCTCGTTTGTCGCGAAGTTCTGGCGTGCCGTTCTGCCCGCCCCGGGGCGCTTCCAGCGCCACTCGATGCCGGGACGAGCGTGCGAATGTCCACGAGGGCAATAAGCTTTCACCGCGTGTCAGCACAAGGCAGCGCCAAGTTCAAGCTTCGATGAGCCATTCGCATACAACTCTGCGGGAGTCTCACAGGTTTCTTCGGGCCGCTTCCGTGGCCATTTTGGCTCGGGCCGTCTGCCTCGGGGGGGCCCCGCTCGTGCCGGGCGGCAGCTCTCAGCCCGAGCGGATGCCCACGGGCCCCGGGACGCGCCCCTGGCGGGTGCGGAACACCTTCGTCGAGGTCGACAGCAGCGACAGCGACGCCTGCCTGGAGCGCGCGCGCGGCTGGGCCGCGCGCAGCTGCCCGCCCAGGAGGCCAGCGCGCGGCGGCCCCGCGCCGCCCCCGGGAAGACGCTGACAGCGTGCAGATCCGCGCAGAGCTCCTGGAGGAGCTCGTCGGTGTGCCGAAGGACGTCCCAGTGGACGTTTTCTTATGCTTCTCCTGGTCGCGGAGCCGCCAGGGGTTGGTCCAAGGGCACGTCACCTCGGGCGTCGCGTAGGAATCCGCAGGGCTCGTGTCGTAGAACAGCAGGAAGGTCGGAGAGCGGCACTCGCCTCAAGGAGAGATTTGTGCCGACACTGATGGCACGACAGTCCCTGATGCACGCGTGGGCGAGCTGCACGCAGTCCTGCATGGCGCGCGGGCCCTGCAGCGGCGGAGCGAGAGGTGAAGACGTAGTCGCCGCGCGGCGGTCATATCGCTCGGTTTCGCCGCAGGGAGCAAAATCGAGCCGTACCAGGAGGACTGGAGGGCCCCGTGGGGTGGATGCCTGCGCGGCAGCGCCCGCACAACAGGTGTGGCCGAGCCAAGGCTAGAAAGTGAGAGAGAGAGAGAGAAAGAGA